TTGTTCAGCAATGAAAAAAAATTCAACTTAGATGGTCCATACGGTTGAAAGTATTATTGGCATGATTTCAGAACCCAAAAACAAATATTTTCAAAATGCGAAATGGGTGGGGGATCAATAATGGTGTGGGGTGCGTTTGGATTCAACGGAACCACAGATTTAGCATTTGTAACTCAAAGAATGAATTCAGAGAAGTATCAAGGCATGCTTGAAGATCATTTATTGGAAGCTGGACCAAATATTTGTGGACCAAATTGGATCTTTCAACAAGACAATGCCCCTGTGCATGCCTCTAAATCAACAAAAATGTGGTTTAAACGTAAAAATATTAATCTGATGACATGGCCTGCTAGAAGCCCTGACCTGAATCCGATGGAAAATCTTTGGGGGATGATGGTTCGTACAGTTTATGCCAATGGAAAGCAGTTTTCCACAATTCATGATTTGAAGGCAGCAATTTCAGATGCTTGGGATAAACTTAAGATTGAATTCCTTCAGAATCTAATTGAAACAATGCCTAATCGAGTATTTAATGTAATTAAGTTAAATGGTGGTTACATTGGCCATTAAATTGTAAGAAAACTTTGCAATTTGAAACCTGTCCGGATAAATATGTAACAGTTTTTTTGTACAAAATTTTCAAAAATATTATTTTCAGTGACAAAATGTTAATGTTTGATTAAAATTCTTATTTTGCAGTGTGGAAACATGTAAATCCATGTTATTTTTAATAAAACATTTGTCACTTAATGCAGCAAATTTGGTTTCACTTTAATTTTTTCCTGTCCGTATAAATTTGAAACGCACCTTATTAATTGTTATTACCTAATTAAGCTCAAAACATATGTTAAACAAAAACTGACTTGCAGATGTTTACTGTAGCACTGACAGTTTAAATTAAGCTACATTCCATTCACAATAGAAGTGAATAGATTCATACTCACCTTTGTCTTTTGAGTCCACCCTACACATAAATAAAGAGACCCTGTCAGCAACATCTGCAGACTATAAAAAAGGGCATCACACATTATGCAAAAAGTTTCAAACAGTGATTCAATGTCAGATCAGTGCTCCTACAAGGTGGCACTGATTGTAATCAGGGCTAATTTTTTAACCTTGAAAACAAAGAATGTTCCTTGTTTTCAAAGCCAAGTTTGTATCATCCATTGTCCCATACGACTAAGTTGTATAGGACATAAACAAATATCATTCATTTGTTTCTTTTATATTTGTAGAATAAGCTAGAAGTTCTGAATTTTCTGTTGTTTGTTGATAATAGATTTTGGGATACCCTTAGGAATTAGGAAAAGGGCAACACAGACAAAAAGGACAGCATGTGTCCCAAGTGCCTCAATGTATGGGTAACCCTAGACTTTCTCATGTTTTATTATGTCAAAACAATTAACACAACAAAAAATAAAATAATTTTACAACAATTTTTTTCATGTTGTGGGAATATTGTTGCAGATTATACATAACCTGTATAGCATTCAGATTATATTTTGACAAACCAATTACAAACATTGTCTATATAGGCTCTGTAGTTATCTCAATTTGTCAAACTTAACTTACTTAATAAGTGTTAAAAATGCAGTAATATATTTATTACATTTTGCAAGTTTAATTTCATAACTATTTGTGAGTGGTTGAAGTTTGTACACTAAGCATACAATAATAATATGACTGAAATACCTTGTGGGAATAAATGAATAACATCACTGTTAAAATTATAACAGATAAAAAATATGAAATATAAATTCTCATAAATTGAGAAAATAATGTTAAAAAATATATAGATGGTATCTGACTAATAAAAAATATTTTACAAAACATTTTGTTGAATACATCAGTGTTTATTTTTCTTTCAGTTTTTTAATTGTTGCTAAAAAAATAAACCTTAATTTACCACATTTTAATTTATTTTTTGTTCACTTATGAAATAATCTTTAACTAAAATTCAAATTGAAAGCATGTGTGAATTACATGATGATGTGGGTTATCTGCTAATTTTTATTTGCAAATACAAGCTTTTCTTTCATCTAAACTTACCAAGAACATCTTTAACCAAGTAGAGTCATTATTTTATTATTTTCTGAAATATAGAAGGCTGAACTTTTAACTTGGGCTGTCCATAAACAACATCCACACTGGGAAAGAGAGAAGAGAGTCAAGACAAGTAGAACAAAGTTGGACAAGAGGAGGGGAAAAGTTGAGCTTCAGTGGACATCTATTTTATTTCATTAAATTTTATACAGTTTATGCATTTTATTATATATATTTCAAAATTTCTTATATGTTTAATTTCTACTTATGGTATCTATCATTCATAAAGTGATGAAAGGAATTGAGTTTTGTTGGACATCCAAAGAGGTAAGGGGGGGTTATGGAAACTTGAACAAACAAGAGGGAAAGGGGGAGTAAAAGTTTCAAGAAAAATGTGGATGTAATTTATGGACAGCCCCTTGACAACTGATAAATTTTTGGTAGATACTTCCTGTCTATGTAGTGACTTTCAGAAAATTATTTAAAAGCCAACTTTCAACTAACAACAATCATCTTGGAAGAGTGTGGATTATGCATGGTTTTATTTCAGTTCTAACAGTTTTTTTGACGGATATGAACAGGAGTACAGTTAGAGAAAGCAGGTAGAGCATATACCCAAGATGTCAGGATACACTGAGAGGAGAGTGTGTGTAATTATTTGAATTAGGAAATTATTATTAAAGGGATTAGGAAAAATGTATAAGGATAATTTATTAGTACTAGGTAAGGGGACAAAAAAGAAAAGGTGTGTACGGGAAATGCAGACTAGTGATGGCATGGACCAACTTGTGATGTACCATCAACATTTCAGACCTCCAGAACAAGAATAAACCCCAAGTGACAGAGAGCCTGGTTGCATATTTGTATGGATATGGATTATAAGCCACTGGGTTATCTGTATGAAATAATAAAAATCTGTTTATAATTTTCATTGTATAGAATGTATTTGAACATTCATGATAACATCACTATAAAAATACTAATTGCAAAACTTGACTATCAGCCTGATAATTATGGTTTCTGAATATAACAATGAGAAATTTTAATTTTATATTCTTACAATAAATTAGAGAAAAATCTGAAAAATTTCATTCTAGACTTTTATCTTGCTTATCCTAGAAGATAATTTTGTATTAAATATGGCAGAATATAGCAATAATGACCACTATATCAGAAAATACACCAAACTTTAACAAAGCTAAGCTTTTAAAAACAATAGGTGAAGCAGGTAAAACTCTTGAAAAAATACATATATAGTGGGTGATTAGGCAATGAACACTTCACTGAACAAACATAAAATGAAGTGACGGAAAATAACAAATACCAATTGATTTTCCCTTGTCTTCAGGTAACAATTCGAAACCTTTCAGAGCATGTGAGACATCAACATCGACACTCAACCTGATAGTAATTCTCTGAATTTTGAAACTCTTCCATGTAATTCCAGCTTTTTGTTTACCTTTCTGACAAATAATTTTTTATAGTCTTTGCGAGATTGTTAAGTTTTGCATCGGGGTTTATTTATGAAAGGTGAAAGTTTAACTGTCCCATCGAATATTCGTTAACGCTTTAATACCAAATTTCGAATTTCATCCAGGCCTTGCATTTCAATAATTTTTTGTAGGCTAGTTGATTTCTGTTCTCTGAATTTTTTCTGAACTTTTTATTTAAAAAAGAAACTGATATTATTATGGAGCCTAAAAAAAGGAGTATCAAGAACTGTACTCACCATAGAAACCAAATAAGAGATAATAGCCAAGGTAGAACATGGGCACAAGATGTCCGATGTTGCTTGGCAGTATGGCTTGAACAGGTCTACAGTAGGCACAATCTTAGCTATGAAAGCTATATCAAGAAGTCTCAAGCTGCTAATGGAGTAATGAAAATCACATCTGAGAAATAAAGAGCATTTTAGAGCTCATAATAGAACCTGAAATTGATCTGACAACAGAAGAACTCCAAGAACGCTTAAATGAAGAATACCAAGAAACTCAGCAAGATGTGTTATTTTTTTTGAAAAAGAGGAAGATGAAAGAAGACCAATGCCAACATCTGCTACTAAAGATCTTTTGAAGAAGTGGGAGGATGTCAGAACAATGATCATCCAAGTGGCATCAAAACCAGAATAAGGTTAATGGAGTTGGGGATCTCTACAATTACAATACTATTAATTACTTTCAAAAAATCCTGAAGAAAAGAGAAAAGCAATTGACATTGGACAGATTCTTTAACTCCCACAAACGGAAAAAACATGACTAATAAAAATACAAAACTGCATATATATGTATTTTTACTATTACATATAAATAAACATAGTAAAAAGTACATATTTTTTTATTTTTTGGAGTCTCTGGAATGAATTAATCAAATTCCCATAAAAACCTATAGTCAATCAATAATCAGTTAACAAACAATTCAGATAATGAACAAAGTCTTGGAACGGATTATGTTCATTAACCGATCACCCACTGTATAAGCACAGTGTCAAGAATTCGTGTATAAATCATAAAGATGCCGCTTGTTTATCAGTAGCTTGGAAGTATCTTCCCAATGCAGTGAACAGCGATACGAAAGACTAAAACAAATATTTCATTTATGCATTTATTTACTTTTATTTTTATTTATTTATTTCTTTTATTCTGTATACCTTCATCAAAGTTGTACACATTTATTTGTATTCTCAATTTATTCAATTTTGTGTATTTAAATAATTCTCATTTAAAACACAATATTTAAATGTTAAAGAATTCTATTCAAAAATGTGTTCAATCCTGAAGATGCCTACACAGATAGCTGAAAGCATTAGATGAATTAAAAAATAATTGCTGAAATAGGTTTTTTGTCTTTAAGTATTTACATTAATCCAGTTCAAGATCAATATATGAGAATATAGCATACAACTCTTAAATTGACTTACAAAATATAAAAAATATATTAATATAAAATGAAATTTTTACCTTTTAGATCTAGGAATATTTGGATCGCTTCTTTTTCTGAAGGAAGGTCTGCTTTCTCTCTGTAATTTTAAAAATTTTATTAAATATAATGAAAATAAAAGCAGGAAATTAAGTAAATAGTTAAAGGGTCTGTTTATACTCTTAACATTACTGCAATTATCATAATACCACTACTGATGGCATAGCTTAGATATATAAAACTGTTATTTAACTTCAAAAAACAAGAATAATGAATAAATACATCATATCTGATTTTTGTTTTTCATATAAGGAAAAATTTAAACAACATTTTATGTTTAAGAAAAAGAAACATGAGTAGCTAATCAGATTTCTCTTCTATGCAATTCTAATTTGGTTGTTATGTTTGTTGTAATAATCATACCTACCTTCTGGACTAATTCATTGCATAACTGAGGCATAGAAATGTTTGATACTGATCCAAACTCAATTGAATACTCTAAAGCACTGTTTCCCAAAGTGGTTCCTATGAACCCCTGGGGTCCTTGGAATCGCTGATGGGGTCTGTGAGAAATTAAAATTAATTTGAGGGTGTGTGGACAATGTCAGGGGGTCTAGGAAAAGTATAATAGAAAGTAAAATGATTCTGACCCATTTTCATTATTACGGAAGTTAAAAATAAACTGTAATAAATAAATTGTAGTCATTTTTATATGTCCTGACATAAACATTTGTTCTGTGATTAAAGTTATTGCTGGAAAAGTACAAATGGTGTGTTTTTTGATTTTATCATCAAATCTCATATTATTTATCCAAAACAATTGTTAATTAAAAATTCTCATCTTATCAAAAAACGATATTAAAAATAGAAAACAACCAGTTAATCATGTTTTACTTAAAATTTACACATCAATTAAGTGTTTAAAATTACATTTATAACCATAAAAATAACTATTATTTCAACTACTCAATTTCAATGAATAAATACTATAATACGCTTCTTGTCTAGTCTTCTGAATGGCTTGTGAGCACTAAGATTGTCTTTCTGAAAAAAAATTAGTGTTTTTCTAAATCTAATTTGATGTCCTGTGGTAGTGTAATAAGTCTAGTGGTAAAGTAAAGCCAATCTTAGTGCTAACAAGCCATACTCAATTTCAATAGTATTTTTATGTTATAAATGTAATTTTTAATTTTAACTATATTAAATTTAAATATAGAACAATGTACTTTTTAATTAAAATATATAGTTTATTTTATACAATTTTATTATTTATTTTATTTTATAATCATCTATAGTTTTTAATATATGAATCATTTTATAATTCTAACTATTAGAACTATTTAATGACTAAAAATATATAAATAATTCATTTATTTTTGTCAAAAATATCTTTTTCTATGAAAATTCAATAGATAAAAATAAAAAAACTTATTAATTTTATATTTTTGTAATGTAATTTATAACCCAATTGAAAATAAATTACACATTTTTTTGTTTTCACTGTATTATGCTTGTTTTTTTTTAAATGGGCACGCTTTATATAGTAATTTCAATAAATATTACTTTAAATATCAAAATGTTTTATTTATATTTTATTTTTATATCACCATTCATGACATCAAAGTTAAATTTTGTAATTTTGCTATTATGTAGTTGTGTAGTTATTTCACTTGAGGTTCATGGTCAGGTTTTTGCTAAGAGATTGGGTACGTGGGCAAAATAAGTTTGGGAACTAAAAGGAAGACTATCTCTTCCAGTCTAGGATCAAACAGTAATTTGAATTTTGAAAATTGTCTACCATTTATTACATATTATACTAAATATTTATATTTGGCTTAATTATGACAAAAATTTATATTAATAATAAGCATATATGTAAATTTTTACAATAATTCATCTGATGTTTAGCAAAATAAATTCATATTTAAATTTATAGTGCATTTGACTTCCCTTTGAGTATGAAATGCATGGAATCATTGCACCCCCAAAGTATAAAATACCTCTTTTGAAATATGAAAATTTGTATTAGACATGTTTAAATAATTTATATTTAATTGGTACAGAATTAAAATTATAGTTTACAAACATTCCTTTAAAAAACTGTCATTATTTACCTAATTCCTACAGCCCTAAAACCAACTACTGTATTAGACAATTTTAAATCTGTAAGAGTATTAGTATTTATATTACAGTAGAGTGTCGATTTTCCGAAAGTCAATCATCTGAAAGAATTCCAGTCGGCAAATTTAAATTTTCGCCAGTGCTGTGGCGCTTCAATCTTTGGCTATGTCTTGGGCTACTCAAATATTTTACGTTTTTGATACTAAATTAACATCTGAAGTATAATTTTTTATTGTTTTTATATTTTTCAATATATTTAATTTGTTTGTACAAAATAAAAAAATAATTTTTAACGATACAATAGTCTTTGTTAGGCTTAACATCGACGAAAATTCAACGTGAAGCGACACGCAACGGAGAAAAATTTTGACATCGGATACTTTAAACTATTTTTTCGTACATAAATCAGTTATCTGAAATATCAGTTATCCGGACAACCCCAGTCTCCAATTGATTCGGAAAATCAACGCTCTACTGTAGTACAATATTGGAAATTTCTTCAAAATTGCTGTATCTAAACTTAGGCTAAAATACACGAGAAAATCGAACAATCTTATCCTCCTTAAATGAAAAAAACTTAACAGATTTTCAGAAGAGCACAAATGCATATTTTAAAAATTCAACAGGCATGAATAGGATTGTTAATTTTATGAACTGATCATCCTGAACTGAATTTCCGAGACCGTAAGGTCCCCTTGTCAGTGTAAAGGAAGGAAGGCTATGTGAAGACCACCATTTCCCCCCCACCAAAAATTATTGTTACTATATATATATATGTGTGTATGTATTTGTGAATTTGTTATTTACGTATTTACTAGTGATGTAACGAATATTCAGTTACTATTCGGTATTCGGCCTATTCTTCACTATTCGGCCGAATACCGAATATTTAATCACTATTCGGCCGAATACTGAATACTTAAAAACAGGATAAATAAATAACAAAAACACAGTAAATTAATCATTTTGGTATTTAGATTTAATGTTATCGAGTTAGTGTTGTTTGTTTATATTTATTTATAACTTGTAACATGCACAAAATAAAAAAGAAAATAATATTAGTCACATGTATTCACAATTTATAATTACAAATATCAGCACACGTACACGTCTATCATTGGAGAATCCTCGTACATCTGAGGATCTGACCCTGCCTATCCTTCTTTTTAAGCACTCGTCTTTGCTCTTCCCTTTCTCTTTCCTCTATCGCTCTAATCCATGTATACCTGTGCATACATCATAATACGCGCTCACGATACTTTCGATTCGTCACTTTTCCATCCTAGAGTTCCCATTTTACAATTACGTGACTTCAGCCTGGTGATAACGGAAAAAAAGAGACAGATAGGACGTCGATATAAGTCACAGTTATGATTTCACAGATTCGAGACAGCTTGATAGCCCAAACGGCCCCAGGCTTTCGCCCGTGCACGCTAAGTGACATACATTACAAGCATTTAGCTTTCCGAAGACTATGACAACAATTGTTTGGCATTGACAGCCGCGAATTTCATGCCAATAAGCTGCCTCGACTTGTTCGATTATGTTATCGACTCAATTTCATATTTATTTTCACATTTTTACTTCGCAGTCCTTCTCTGTTCTTTTTCCGTTATTTACACGTGTAGGTCATTTCATTGTTATCCACATTTGATATCATCATTTATCACATACTTCCATGACACTCTTGTCTGTCCGCTGCAACTGCCAAGAATTAACGTGATTGGCAAAGCGTAGTGACAACGGGCCAACAGAGAGCAGGATCCTTGCCATAATGCGTTTTGCGTGCCAATTTTCGTACGTGCGTTAATCAAGCCAAATAGTTAGTCGAATATTCGGTTATTCGGCCACGCTCCTGGCCGAATATTCGGTATTTGGCCTGAGGCCGAATATACTATTCGTTACAACACTAGTATTTACATTATCTGTAATAATCTTAGTTTAGCCACTTTGTTGTCACTTTAATTAATTAGTTAGAGATTTTATTGTATTTAAACATTGTATTTATTTTATATCCTTTTTCTTTTGAACCCACATCTTGAAGATACCGAGATTGTTTGTACATGGATCAAAGTGTAAGAGAAATTTGCTTATTTTTCCGATTCTAGGGACTTCCCTAATGATTTAGAGAAACAATTTAGAATATTAATTAACGGCAATAAATCTACAACATGTGAGGAAAACGATGAGAGGACAATTAAATAATTAAATAAATTTGTAAGAGAATAAAACTTAAAGAAAGTGGAAAAACACCACTTCATGCCCCCCCGCCGATCATAGCAGAGATTGAACATTGTTTCAAGGCACAACAGTAACCAAAACAAGCGATGAATAATGATGAGATTTGTCAGTGAAAACAGTTTTGCTTATGTAATGACTCAGCTCAAAAGTCAAACCAATACGATAGTAAACCATATCATAACTCTCCTGCGCTGAAAAGCGTATAAAAGAGGCACAAATCCAGAGACAGACAGAGCTCCTTGGCAGACAACGGTAGAAAGTACCGGCCTCTCCAGACTCTCAACGAACCATCCCATACCAGGAAGGCATCAATGGTAGACACCAACAGTAGACTTGAGTGGACCCATCCTGCCATAATTGCAAGGAAATTTCGTCTAGAAGCAAATGCCATTTACCAGTAGACATCAGTGAAGGACCAAGCAAAAGGGAAGAAAGAACTATATCAGGAGACTGACTGGACTTACAAGAGAAGACAGCTCTCTTTTTCCTGGTATGTTGTAGTTCGGATAGCCCCTGTTAGGCAGCCTCCTCGTTTTATAAATAGAAATAGGCAGATTTCTTGAATTGGATCTTAAGAATGTTATGCAGAACTTAATTTTTGATAATAAACTCTTGTTATTTGTATTTGACTTTGCATTCACCCTCCTGAGAGGTTCATTCCCGGACTTCAGAGTGACTCTTACCCTCGCGCCTTAAATATCGGGTTTTGACTGAATGGGCGGTGTGTCCGACAAAACACACCTGGTGGCAGGACCCTACCCTAATCTAACGTAAACTAACTTTTGATGGCCCCTGGTCCCCACAGCTATATGGGAAAAACACATGAAAAAATATATATTTTTCAAGTGAAAAGTTTCAAATAAATGCATTAAAAATAATATTTAGATGGTACTTAAAGGAATTTAGGGACTAGCCTAGTCCATTCTCAGCATGCCACTGATCTCATTATGACATTGCTTATGCCAGATGCCTAGGATTACCTGACATTCTTCATTTCAAAGGACAATTTTTTGTTTTATCTAAACTGTCCTTGTCTTTTACTGAAACAAGAAACAAGACAATTTATCCTTTATTTTCATTTTTTAATGTCTTTCGTAATTGCAGTGGCAGATTTCCACAAGGGCATATGCCTATCCTACATTAATTCATATCCTTCCCCACAGAAAGCTAAGTTGTACCATTCGAATACTATAACTTCCTTGCCCTATGAGGGAATGGCAAACCTATGGCACATGTGACCAAAGTGGTATGTTGGAGAAATCACCTGACATTTAACATATCATACAATTTATCATCTGTATTTTTCAATCAACTTCTTTACATTTATTTTAATTAAAGCATATTTGTTTTATTTCTTTGAATATCGTTATTTGAAATTTAAACTTCAGCATGCATAAACATTTTTAAAGATAAGTATGCTTACTATATGGTATGCAGATTCAAAAAGGTTCACCATCCCTATCCTATGAGATGGCCAGAAAAATATGGATTAAAAACTATTTTTCCAGTTTTTTAAAAGGCCATGTGATTGGCACATTTAATTAAATAGTAATGTAACTTTTACATTATTAGTGCATTAAGAATGC